GAACAATATATCCAATGTTTTGGCCAAAAATTCGAATGAATATTTTGTAACTTATATATAAGTACAAATAATCTGTAAGTACAAATAACTAAATCAATAGTTAATTAGAAAATATGTAACATTAATTTTAAATTATATTCAATAAACGTTATTTTTCAATAAATAAATACGTTCTATTTTTAAAAATATTTACTCCTAACCCTACATTCCTTCCTTTAGGTTTAAGTATATTATTAAAAAATGATTCCTGGAAACATTAGAGCAAGATAAATACATAAAAGGTGAGTATGAAGTTCATATAAGGTAATGGTCATATATGTAACAAAGATTATATAATTTCCTTGAATTGTATTTTTTTATAAAAAAGTCAAAAAATTTAAAAAATTTTCTATTAGAAAAATGTACATTAAATGTACATCGATTTGTTTATCTACAAAAATTTTAGAAAATTTTCAAAATTTGTAAAATACTTACCTCTACTTACCTTTTATTACTTACCTTTTAACAGCTGCTTAATTAATTGTTTTTCAACAGTTTCCTTAATTCTAAAGGGATAAGGAATATAGGAACACGGAAATATACAGGATTAAGGAATATGGATAATAGGAGCATAGGAATACAAGAATATTCAGAATGGAGAAATAGGAGTATAGGAATACAGGAATATTCAGGATTAAGGAATATGGATAATAGGAATATAAGAACACAGGAATATTTAGGATCGAGAAATACGGATAATAGGAGAATAGGAACATAGGAATATTCAGAATGGAAAAATATAAATAACAGGAGTATAGAAACACAGGAATATTCAGGATAGAGAAATATGGATAATAGGAGTAGGATCACAGGAATATTTAGGATTAAGAATAGAATGATAAAAGTATATAATTTATGTACTTACCTTTTTAAAGCTACTGTTTTCTACGGTATTAAGTATTCTTCGATAGTTTTCTCAATTTTAAAAATACATCTACTAATCATTCACTTACATTTCTTTATAACTATTGTCCATTGTGACACTGAAAATTTGTTTGATTATTAAAAAGTTTTTAGAATAAAAGTTAAACGGTTTCAAGAAGGTCTACTTATTTTCTTATACATAGAAATATGAGGGATATATAAAAATGAATGTTGTTTTATAAAATATAACTACACATTTTTTAATACATCAGTGGATGTATCTTAGCATTCTCTATAAAAAATTATTAAGCCATACAAGACAAAAACTTGTAGTTTAAATAATAATTAAATTTTATCAAATATCTTTTAAACTAATGGTTTTTTACTATAAATGGTCCTATATATTTTTACACAAAACGCCAAAATGCATAGAGTGGGGTATTAAAAAATACACGATGCTATTTAAACAGATAAAGTTATGCTCGATAACTTTTTACGAGTGCACCTACGAAAAAATTCAAGGCGCCAAAATGTAGTCCTTTCGAAACCATTCAACTTTTATTTCAAGCATTTTTTAATATCTTAAAAAACAAAGGAGATATTTAAGAAAAAAGAATAAGTTTGAAAATCGTCGAGCGATAGCAAAATTTCTGCCCAAAAATTTGTATTATATAACTTTGTATTTAATAACTTTGTATTAGGAGAACATGATACGATAAGAGGTCGATCGAAAAATTTTTCCAAGAAATGACATCAAATTTTCGGAATTCCTAAATTTCTTGGAAATGACGTCAAATTCTTGGAAATTTCCAAATGTTCGAACAAAAGATCGATACTTTTGGCCAAAAATTCGATTTTCTATTAGGAAAACATAACTTAAAAAGAGTTTTTACACATTTATTACATATCTATCGTCTTCCTACTCTTCCTACTATATATATAAATAAATAATTTATATATAATTTTTTACCATTCTTCTTAGCGACACTTTTTTTTTCACAACTTACATAAATCTAGATTTTTACTTCTTCCACTTCTTACTTCTTTTTATCTTCTATCATGGAAACTATCATGGCCATTTTTAGTGTGTTTTTTATGATTTTTTTAGTTTTTGAATTGGTACACTGTATTCGTATTATTTGGAATATCTCGATTGTTTTTAATAAACAATTGCATAATACAATTTATCGAGTGTCCGAATAGTATTATCTGATGCATCACGCTTGTTTTTGGGAATATTAAAAAATGTTTCAAATAAAAATTATACAGTTTCATCGGCAGCATATCCTGCTGCTATTTATTTTTTTATACATAGAAACGTAAGGGATATATAAAAATGAATGTTGTTTTATTAAATACAGCTATACATTTCTCAATATATAGTAGATATATCTAAATATTCTTTGTTTGTGATTTGGACGTAGCAAGGTAAAATTTTCAAGAAACTTTAGATTAAAAGAAACGATTTACAAAATCTAAAATTTCAAGTTAGCATTTTCTTTTACATTAACTGAAATATCTTCTGTTTCTTTCTAAAAATAGAAAAATATATATAAAAGGAAACTGAGCAATGTATCAATCACTTGCGCGAAACTCCGATGTAAAAATAACAATATTTATAAATGACAATATTTAGCGATAAATTTCAATTATATAAATCGATTGTAATTATAATTTTTATAACAAAAAGAGTTATATATTATTTAATTTCAATTTCTTATAAACATTGTTGTCTCATAATATTCTGAATCGATAATGTTGGATATGATTTTAAAATTAATAATAGGATATATGACATAAAGATTTATTGGACGATAGATCTATTCAATCTTGTCTGTGATAAAACTGACATGAGATTTTGAAGATTACAAACAATATTAGAAAATTAAAGATATAATTTTATAGATATTAGAATATTAAAGAAACAATATTAATTACGAGTTTAATAATAGTAAATATTGATATTAAATATGAAATAGAATATAAATATATTCTATTGTATGCATATTTATTGATACGTTGACATTGTTTTGACAATTATCAGATAATATGTTGGTAATGTGTATTGTTACAAAAAACAAATCTTTTAGAGCTTATCAATTATTCGATATCTGTCTGTTTTTCTGAAAATATAAGATAATAAAATATGGGATAAAAAATATTACTGTTGTTTGAAAAAGAAAAATATGATTTTTTGAATAGAGCGATAAAAATTGACATTTATTGGAACAATGTGAAAAAATGTTATTTTCTACGTTTTCAAATATTTTAATCCTGTGAAATTAATGTTTTTTTAAACGTTATCCCTTTAATTTTGCCTTTACAGGGAAACCATGAAATTTCATAATGAAAGTTTATCTAAAGAATGGCGACCTAGAAACTCGTTCAATACTATATGTTAATCTTTAACGGCCATGAGAAGCTAATACGCGTGTTTTTTATGTAAATTTCTCAAACAACAAAATTATAAACTTCATCAAGCCACCCCTTTTTTCCCTCTCTGAATCCTTCTCTTTTGAATGAAAATTTTATTATTATGTGAAATAATATATAATATACGAGATGATGAAAAACGAAATTTTGTAATATTAATATTACAAAAATAAAAATTTCATAAATTACGAATATTAATTATTAGTTATTAGATAGGGGAGAAAATTCTGTATATTTAATTTTATGGATTCGTATGGACTTTTATATAGGACAAAAAATTAAATATTTTATATTTAAATATTGACATATTTTCAATATTGGAATATTTTATCCTTATTTTGAATAACTTTTAGTGTGATTTATGAATTGTTTAATTTATTTTTTTTAAATTGATGTTTAATTTAATTTTCAAAATCTTGTTAGAAAAATCTCTGTTATTTTTTATATAAGTTTATATAAAGATTTAGGTATAAGTATTTCTACGTAAAATTAAATTTCTTATGATTTAAAAAAATTTGAAAAATAAGTTTTATTAAATTTATTTTCATTATATTAGTTTTTAGGAAACTTCCTAAAAACATTGTCATTATTAGAATAATAATTCGTTATAAGTATTTAATCCTTTCACTATTCTAAAATATCCATTTGAAAATTTATCTTATGGATGATGTTTATTATACATTTACTAGTATTAACGAAAAATATTTTAGTATAGCAATGTGTTATTTGTGTTCATTCAACATTTCAATCAATTATTTTCTCCGTAATTTCTATGCACCGATAATAAAATAATCACCAAGATAATCAACAAGATAATAGTTATTTATCAGTTTGCTGTTTTACAATTCATTGTTTGTTTAATTGCTAATTACAATATAAGTACGAAAGATAATTATTGCTTCTGCATTTCTCGTTAGTGTAACAGTATAATCACAGAGAACAGTAATTGCCACTATAACGAGAACATTCTGTCATTATCGGGTGTTTATTTATTTCTACGTTACTAAATCGATCAAAATATCCAATATTTATTCCGTTCATGTTTCAAGAGAATCGAGATTTTTCATACTAAAACTTGAACTTTAGTCATCTCGTTATTTATATACTACCCTGTACATCAACGGTACAGTTCTCTAATTGAGAATACGTAAGTACAAAAACAACAGTTTCATCTGTTACTGTGAATACACGGTTTCCATCCACGCTAGTGATTACTAGTTTAAAACCACCCCTTGCTCAGTTACATTTTGGAATACGAGAAACAAACAATTATAATTAAACCATTTATCTGCATTTACCGTCGTAAGAAAGTGTTAACGTGTAGTGCACAAGTATGCTAATTCTGACATTCGCTATCCGAATTGCTTTTTATCTATAATTCATTCATTTTATATTTATAATTCAAGAATTCGAGAAAAGAAAGATATATTGTTATTTAATCTTCTATAACAAGATTTTGTTTGCTCATAAAGATATAATTGTTATTGATCGCAATAATACACTAACAAAATAATAAAACTGAGAATCGAAGTGGTGTAATCCCATTTAATTGTGGGTCAATTTGAAAATTTAATCTAAATTAAGAAATTTTTTATTATCAAAGTGATTAAATATACAAGAAACAATATCTCAAATATTTTACTTATAGATTCATGAATTGTTTTTTTAAGTAAGATGATACCTTTATGAATCAAAAGGGATGATTTCAAAAAACGAAGGTCCACTATAATTCCACGCGACTTTAAAATATCTATTCTTTTATTTAATTCTCATTTCTAACGATTATTGTAAAGCATAATTTCATCAATCCAACTACTGAATAAAAAAGAAAAAAATGAACTTTCTACGAGTGATAAATCAACTATACTATTATACGTATGTATTATGCATACATCCATAATATTTATTATATAAGTTAAACGTACGTCGAACATCCAAATATTGGAATAATTTATCATCAACGCGCATACAAACGATAATTAAAACGTATACGTATTACGTACACACGTGTCCACGAATAATTACTTTTCTCTCTTCCACAATTACGCGACAAGAATTTACGCGGGAAGTTTAAAGCGAAACACGTTGACCTGACCCGTTTCACTTACCGCACCGCTACGCGACCAGAAGTTTTATATTGAAATACCCGGGCGGAAATTTCAACGGGCGTAATCGTAAAAAATAATCCTTACCCGAGGCTCCACCTTGGACGATGGCTCGTCCGTGCAGCAGCAACAGCCCATCCTCGAGAAACGTGGTAATCCTTGGAAATAAGCGCGGTGCTGCTCCTCCTGATCCTGGTCCTCGCGCCGCACTGGCCGGTGTCACGGATGCGCCCGCTTCCGGGAATAAATTAAAACGGAAGTTCTTTAAAATGGCCGCGGAACAGCGTATATTCTTGCGTGTAGTCGCGAACAGTTTCGCGAGATATGTTGTAAATGTGTTTGAGAAATGTGAATGGATAGAATAATTCTTCGAATAGATACGAGGAGAGAAATAAGATGGCGAGAGATAAGAGGAGAGATGATGTAGTAAGATAAAGTAATGTTCGAAAGAAGTTGATTTCTCGTTTATTCGCGTTTATTTTTTTCTTTCCTCTTTTTTTTTTTAGGAATATCCATCTTATCAAGGGTTGGATGTTTTCAAGAAATTTTGATTTGTAAAATTCTTTAAACTTAGGATTAGGATAGTTTTTTATTTTGGTTTATAATAATTCTCTAAAGTTTCGAGAAACTTTTCGGAGCTTCGAATTTACGATTGATAGATTTTTAATATCTATCTTGTTTTCGATTTGGAATTCATTTCAAACAAATTTAAATTGATATACATTGAATTGACAATTACAAACTGAAAAATTAATAATGATTAATAATATACTGTTGAATTGACAAGTGACAAGTTGGAAGTTATAGAATATTTCGTTTTTAAAATTTGAAATTAATAAAAAAGACTATTTGTAACGTAGAATTCCATGACATGCAATATGTCACTTGTCAATTCACTAATTCAATATTATTATTAGTAAACTGCAAACGTTTATATATTTATGAGAAATTTTAAAAGTGCAAAAATATATAAAGTATTAAAAAAAAAACATTGTTCAATATGATATTTAGTGAAAAAAAAATCTAACACAAATCTACATTTTACTTATATTTCTAAAAAAATATAAATTTGTACAAATATTCATATAATCCAATTATTTGTTGGCAAATTACCATGCAAGGAGCAGAGCCTACTGCATAAATATTATCCTTCTTTTGCGTCAAATAAAATTAATTATGAAAATAATTAAATGAAGCTGGTTCACAATTTTAGAAATTTGCTTTTATAATTTACTTTATTATCAACCATACAATATTATTATGCAAAAAAATTAATTAACACTGATAATCTTTTGATTTATAAAATTTTCTTAACTCATTATATTCGTTATAATATCAATTCGATTATATCTCTGATCATTTTAATTTTTCTTTTTTGATATACGTGCAAATGTTATCTGGATGTTTTTTTTTTTTTTTTTTTTTTACTTCCAAAGAATACGTAGCTCAGTTTCAGAAGATAATATTTTCCATGTTCTTCCGGTTTTGCACTAATGATCATCCTGTTGCTTGTTACTTTTTCGACATGATTATTAATTATTGAATAAGTTTTACGGATTTGAGTGGTAGTAAGCGGCGGAGATATGGAACACTGTTATAAAGTGGAATTTTATTACGCGACAAGTGAAGCAAATGTGAAACTAATCGTAATATAACGTCAACGGAAGTTGGACTCCCTTGGGACGTTTTGACCTATATGCTCCACGTGTGGATTAAACCAATTCGAAACTGTGGATGCTGTCCAAACTGGCTCAACACGATATTTGAAAACGAGTAATAAAAAACAGTAACTATGAATCCACTGACTTTAAAAACTGGGTTACGAAATTGTACAGATTAACAAGTATATATCCCGTCTACACATTAAACTTATACATGCATGGTATCAAATTAACACAGTGGCATAAAATTAAAAAAAAAAAAAATACATATCTCTCTTCTGTATGACTTTTAAGTAAAGTTACTTTTCGTGAAACTAATAAATTGCATTTGATTTAAATGTATTCCGTATGAATACATTGCTGAGAATATATTAACCTCTCTTTTTATTTTCTACCTATTGAATCGTGAACATATGGATGTAAGTAAAATAATAAAATATATCAATAATAAATATAAAATTAATATTTTGACAAGTATGCTTAGTTAATCAACTTGGTTACATTTCATTTTAAAGGTTTATGGAAATATCGCTCGATATTGTTTAAATTTTGCCCAATCATAAACACAGAATACTATAAATACAGAAAAAAACGAAGGCAATAAAATAAATATCAGTAACAAAAACAGTCTTTTCAGCAAAAAAAAAAAAAAAAAAAATTGCTTTTCACTAAGCTGATAAATTGCATCCCGCTTAAACCAGTCTTACACATATAAAAATATTACTCGCGATATAATAACCTCCCTTTACTATTTCATTTTCCAATCGTGGCCAATGATTATACATAAAAACAAGGCAATAAAATAAATACCAACATCAACTTTTAACAAAAGTTACTTTTCATCAAACTAATAAATTGCATTCCACTTAAACTAGTTTATACACAAATATCGCGCACAATATAACTAACCTCTCTCTGCTACTTTATTTTCCAAATACAAACCGCAAATATTTATAAACGTTGTATTACGATATATGTTAGACGATAAAATAGCAAAATTAATAAGGAAGCTTGAAACGTTCAAACACTTTCCAATCAAGACGAGAGAGACAATAAAATAAGATAATAAAATAAATCGATATATCCAATAATTCCACTAATTACGATCAAGATGGCGGATCATCAATTACGAAACGTTTCAACGAAGACAGAATTTAGCGTGAAAAATATATTCTTTTATTATTTTTTTTTTTTAAGTCTCTCCGTCTGGTGTCATTAATATTTCCCGGGACATACTCTCTCGACGCGAGTCACGTCAGTTTCGATCGATTAATCGAATAAGCCTACACGCCACGGTAAAATGACTAGTACATAAGGCTCTGGGGTTGTTGGCTTCCGGTTTTCAACGGCTCGAATATTTTTCTATCGAATTTTAGTAAAATATCTATCTCCTAAAGGAATGAAAGTGTGAAAAAATTGTTTTTTACAAAAATTGTTCGATATAAAGAGATACATCATGCCGAATTACTAGTTTTTCTATAGATGGATACGTGGGAGTTATATGGAAGGTAGTTTTCTTTTTTCTTTTTTTTAAATTAAATATAATATAACTTTCAATGCACAAAAATCGAGGGAACTTGTTAATTTGTACAAAAAAAGTGTTATTTATGTTGAAAAATTATTATTTTAAGAGAAACGTGGTTATATTTTAATTTTTGTTTAATTTAACTTGAATTTTGTGAAAATTTGAGAACGAACGAATTGAGTATCGCTTCGCGCGTTCCTTGTTTTTCACACGATACAAACTTTTACAAACCTCAAGTTAAAATACCATTTACAATAATGATTTTTCAACGTAAATAATGTTCATACTTTCTTTTTACAAGAAATAACGAACTGTATCGATGCATTATAAATTACATAATTCTTATATATATACTTTTACACATCCATATATTATAGAAAAACTATTAATATATCTATATCATTCTCTACAAAATAACTTTTGGAAGAATATTTCTTTAATAGTTTCAATCCTTTAGAAAATATTCCACTGTTCTCAAAAACAACAGAGAAATCGTATACATTTGTTGAAAATATTCATTTACGTGAATATAATAATTCTCAACGTGCAATCATATAATTTCATATTACATAAAAAAAAAAGGAAAAGAGAGAGGAGGGGGAGAAAAATACAAAGAAGGGAGAAACGTTACAATATATCGTTACAACGTGGAAGAGATGATACAATTTCCGGGCAGACAACCTATTAAAACTTTGTGCCCCGATTAATCATCAGGATTGTGGTTATGAAACAACAACATCGGTATAATTGAAAAGCGAAAATGGAGCAAAGCGTGCGGTAGATGCGTTCTTTGTTAACCTTTTGTTACGAAATATCAATGCGTTGTTTGTGTCATTTATTCATGATAAGCACGCGCATTGTTTGTTAATCCTTTTCGAACATTTTCTGAAATATGGTGACGAGCCAGACGCTTGTCTTCTACAACTCGGTTTATTAATTAAACACGAAAGATAAATAAATCTTGCAGCGAGGTCGGCCACTCTGCCGCGAGTTACATTTTTCAAATCACCATTAAGGCCAATGTTAAATATTTCATATGGAATGTTTGAAACTTTGAACCTTATAATTACCTGTGTAAAATCTTTCTCTAGTTTTGACGTCTGTCTCCCTCCATCTTTCGTATTCAAAAAATCATCCGCGGATATAATTTATGCAATTTCCGTTATAAACATATCTGGACGAGTCTCTCTGAATATTAGATATTTTTGCAAGTTGTAAAAATAATTCTTCACATTTGTATATTTTAAAATTTTTAAAATTGTCAGATCGACGAAAAACTAATATTTTGAAAAAGATAAAGTTTATTGTATCGATATTATTTGTTGCAACAATATACACGCAATATTTCAAAATTTCGAAATTTTATTTTAAATTCCTACTTTTTAAGTTACTGTTTAACTTTCCAAAAATAGTTTAGCTTTTCGAAAATCGTTCAATTACATTTTGCATTTAATAAGACATCCGACACACTGTGACTATTACTTATTGACAAAAATGGAGGCAATATTTCAACCGATCCAATATCTATCGGAAGAGAATTGCAGAACTCTGTACGATCCGCTACAAAAGCTTAGGAAACTGGGACAATATAAACCATATAAGACGGTTTGGATAAGGAATATATATCCATGAACCTGTTTCGACGCAACGTGGCGAGCTGCAATTCACGCAAGGAGGGAGTCGATCAACAGGGGGCCGTGATAAAAATCGAGCATGATGCTGGTTTCGTTCGCAAACCGCCTCCATCTTCGCGCTTCCTATTTCCGAATATCCCAAAGGATAGGCGCCAAATAACGTTCTCGCCCCAAACAGGAACAAGAGCGTATGATATAAAATTATCCTAGAAAAATAAATAATACCCGGCTAAGCTGTGGAATACATTCATACGCGGGATAATAGTGGCCACAAATTAAATTACAGATTCGCGGGACGTGGTTTTCAATTTGTACGAACAATTCCAGGGCCACGGAATAATTTCATCTCGCGTGTCTTCGAGTTATGGCCGCACGACTTCGCGTCGCGTGTCTCTTTAATTTGCAAGAGAACTATTTTCACGGAATAATTTTGTTTGCGTATAACTGTACGTGTGTTTTGGTTTTTTTTTTTTTTTTTTTTTTTTTAAGATATATGAGAATCGTGCAGTGAAATATTGATGCAAAATTTATTGAAATGATATTGGAGGTATCTTGTAGAAGCCTATTACGCAAGTTGGAGATTTTAGAAATTGAAAAAAGTTTGTAGGAAAGAATGTACGTTAGTGCTTTAAATATTTCAACTTTTTCAGAATTTACGTAATATTTTTGATCTGGGTAGAGAAAATTGGAAAAATTTATTAGAAGATATTGTAGGTAATTTGTAGAAGCCTATTATGCAAATTAGAGATGTAGCACTCCAAATATTTTAATTTCCTCAAAATTTATAATATTTTTTAGGTTTAAACGAAGAATATTACATTTTCGTGTTTTCTAAAATGGTAGCTTCAAATGTTAGTCTAACTGTGAGAAAAGTGGAAAATAGAAATGGCATAAAAAAACGTAAAAAATGGAAAACCAACGTATATTTTAATCGAAAAACCAATTGGCCTAGTTAAGATTCTCATTCAAGGAAAAATTATGCAGTGAACTCTCCCTGCACGGTTAATTCGTTTCGTGCTGTATCGAAACCGTGTTAAGCGAAATTTACAACCCTCTTATAAAACGATTAATTTATTCTGTATTGCATCGAAATTGTTAAGAGAAATATAAAACTAATACAAATAAAAAGAACGTGTTACAAAAAAAAATTGTGGTAAAAATATTCAAACTATATAAGATATATATAAGTCTAAGTTTATTAAACCATGTTCTATCGTATTATAAGAGAGTTGATTGCAACACAAATCAGAGAAATGCGTAGAAAATGTCAATAAAAATAGTGTGGTCAAAATTTGTGTTATATGAGGATTGTCCAAATTTACTAAGCTCTACTATATGGAAACTGTGTTATAACATCAAGTTATAGCAGGACTGTCACCATTTTTATCCTGTTCTATCGTGTTTTCAGAGTACCGTATACGTGTTTTAAGAGGGTTGACTGTATTTTTAAAAATACAATGTTTCAAAGATAAATTATCAGTCGTAGGAGGAGAACCAAAAAATAGGAAAGTTAAAAGGTAAAATCAAAAAAATTTTAACACTAGAATAATCAAACCAAAATCATTCATTAAAATGAAATTAAATTTTTTATTTATTGAGAATATGAAAATATTAATATTACATTTCATTGAAATAGAAATATAATTACACGTATTACTTATTACTTATTTTTATCATTTTACAATTATTTATATGCAAAATAGATTTTAGATACTACAAGTTTCAGTATGAAAAAAGTAATATTTAAGCTCCTTAAATTTTGCGTTCATGATTAAAAATATTCCACTATTTCCAATATTTCCATAATGTAACTATAAATCATCCATAAAAAGATAATCATAAACGTTGATAGATAGATAGATAAAAATTAAAAAATTTTACAGGAACGGTACTGGATCTCAAGGATTTTTTTATCTGCAACGAAAAATTGACATTTTTAAAATTAATAAGCTTTTAAAATATTAACTGCAAAACAACATACAAAAGTCAGAAAACAAACTTAAATCGCGATGATCAGAAATAGAAGGCGAAGTCTTCCTTTTTCCTTTCGAGAATCGATCATCCGTAGGGAGCACATTTCAGGTGGTCGAAAAACGATTGGCGCGACGAATTTCGCCTTACTTCCTTTTTCATTCTTGGTCGATAAGCTCGACGCAACGAACCAACCCGGCCAGGAACAATACAACTTATCGAGCGACACACATACCTGGTGTATTGGCCACGATAAGAGGCGAAAGAACGAAAGGATCGCGGAAGAGGGGAGAAAAAAACGAAATGTGGTAAGAAAAGGACCGGAGGAAAGGATTGGAGGAAATATATGGAATAGGTAAGGTTTGCTCGAGATCGTGTCATCTGGAATTAAACAGCGACACGATATTTCATTGATAAGTGGAATGCGTCGGCCACGCGAATATCGTGTATCTTGATCGAATTTCACAAAATTAAGGAATTCCACGGATCTCCCCGTAAGAAACGAACCCGGATCACGTGTGTTCGTTTTTAGAAGTTGGTTGATTAAGAGGTTTGATGGTTCAACGTTCCGCTATGACGATAAAGATGCAAAAAGTTTCTTGGATTCATTTGTGAAAATGAATTTGCTTTTACTTCGAGAGCTGTTTTTTTTTTGGCTTTTCTTCGTTTTTTCTTCCTTTTCTTTTCTTTTCTTTTTAATGATAAAAGAAGCTTAAGAAATTCTAAGGTAAGCCAATTTTTATTATAAAGTGGATCTGCAATTCAGGAGAGTTTAGAAATCATGTAAATTATATTTTTTTGAAAATAACTTATCAAGTTTCAGTTCAAGTTTATTTTTTTAAATTTTTAGTTGATGATAAAAAGGAATTTAAACTAGCAATGTCTGATACGATAAAAATTGTAATACTTTTCTCAAGAAGGAAAAACTTTTCATAGAAATGTCAGTGATCCAATTGCAATCTTCTTCATTTGGTGCAATTATTTTATTCTTATAAGTGAACCAATCTGAAATTAATTATATAAGATAGTACATTAAAAATATATTTATACCTGCTTTTATATATTTTATAAAGTTTAAATTGTATAAGCAAGAAATTCTTACATTCGATTCAAATCCAAAAAATAAATATTTATACATATTATGCAATAAACTTAAATAAACTTTTACTTACGAAAAATAATTAAATTAATAATTATAACATCGAACAGATACTTCAAAAATTATTTCAATGGTCCATCTTACTTACAGTTTATTTTTTGGAGATTTATTAAAAAAATTATTTGGATTCGCTTGAATGAATTGATATCAAGAGATTCTTCTCCTTCTTTTTGTTTTAATTGTAAGAATAATTTAAATGTTCATGAGATTTCGAAACTAACGCGATAAAGCCAAACTACCTGATATAATATAATAGTGAAATAGGAACAGTCGTTTACACATATATTTACTTACCAGAGGAAGAACTTTCGTTTCTACTGGTTTCTCGTACGGAAACTAATATTATAGTTTACAAACATTTTACGACATCGATCCTCTTTCTCCGCGAGTACTAGATCAAATTCTTCTTTTTCTACAATTTTCGGCAATAATTTCAAAGTTTCTAATCTAATTTACGTGTAAATATAAAGAAAGAAAAGCATTAGAAATTAGTTCGTACCACAAACATTCAAGATAAATAAAAGTCTTTTCTCGATTAACTCTCTAACTATCATTGATCGATCAAGACCCGAATTTTGAACCAGAGAAGAGAAGGCAATAGAGTGAAGCATAAACATGAAGAAGAAATGCAATTTAATTCGATATTTAAAAAAGAAAAACTTACTTTAGATTGTATATTTTTAATAATTTTATAGTGTTTGTAATTTTTATTAATTACTTTTTTCATACTTGTTAAAAATTTTCTCGTCAATCTGCTTATCTCTTGATGGTTGAGCGATCAATCATACTCCTCTTACTAAAGCACCCTCGTCTTCCATGGTCAAATCCTTTAGAAACAATATTCTTATTCGATTAAACGAGTATGACGTGTCGCCTGTCATGCTTAAAGATTCCAAACTTTCTAAATAATATATCATGAACACATATCACACATAAAAGACGTCCAACATTTAATCTTTGAACCAGGTAATCAAGCAATGTCCGAAGTTTATCCGTTAGAAAACATGTTATTCGTAAAAGTTCTTCATTCAAAGTCTATTCGTAAATTAGTCTATCTGCTTTCAATTTGTCTCAAAAATTAATATTTAAATAATTTTTATAATATTCATTCCATAATTTTATCCATATTTTTTATAATTACAGAAGATAATGATAAATAAATATTTTTCTTTATTAAAGATATAATAAAGAATTCCTCAATATAATTCTCCTTCTCCTTTTCTTTTACCTTGAAAGAAAGAATTATTATTTCAAAAATTAAAATTATACAAGATAGTTTTAAATATATATATATAAAAGAATTATTATTATTATTTGTTACCTTCATGTCATGTCAAGTTTTAAAAATAAAATTATCGATGCTCTCTATTGATCTATCTAAAAGAAATTTTCAATCGTGCTTCAATCATCAACTCAATTACCAATATTCAATTATCAATTATCAAGAATATATCCTTCATATGTGTAAATATGTATGTGTCGATAATCAAACATATACGTCGCCTTCCAGAATATTTTATCCATCTCCCATAGTTGAAATAGAAAATCGTTCGATAGAACGATCAAATATTCTATAGGCAAATGACAGTTGTCGAATGGTAAATTTCGCATTATTTGCAAATTGGTGTACGACTGTACGTCCGCGATTCAACGAGACTATTATAGCTTGCATTATTCCCTATTCTTGATCCAACCGATTTCTGCACATTATTAAAGCCTTGCGGACATGTTGATGCTCGCGCTATTCTCCATTTTTTTACTTCGATCTGTATCTAATAAATGAAATGAAAAAATCGAATCAAAAAATGAAAATTACATCCTCACTTTAATCCTCTAAAATTAACGAGATTTTAATTTTAACTTTTTCTTAAATATACATATTCTCTCAATAAATTATTGTTAAAAATATCTTTTCATATATTGTAAAATATTATAAATATTTTAAAACGAATAAAATAAACGGTATCCATAATATAAATGAACAAATTAAGAATATCTGTGAAATGATAATTTTCTCTAACCTATTATAGATTTAATTTCTTCATCCAAAATTGCATTTTATATAATGAGAACAATTTTTAATTGTAGAAGTTAGAAATAGAAAAAAAAAGAAAAGAATTTTGTTTCTATTTCGCCCTCGAATTCTCGATTATCGAGATTTATTGTAATCTAGATCCACGATTATTTCGTTTTAACGACGATCATACGAAACAGCCCTCGGATGAGCACCGTTTACGTTCGTTACTCTCTTATCGAGCACGTTGGCAAACATTTGTTCGTTGCTGTTCTTATAGAAAATCACACCGTTTGTTTATCGCCGCGTAAAAGAGCCAGTGTATAAAGGGTGGATTAATTGTGGATCCGTGATTGCAGAACGTGATAACGATTTAATTCTTTGTACGGGGTGCTGGGTAAATTGGTTTCGGACTTGGAACTAGAAAATAATGGAAACGAAGGGAGAATGGTTATTGTTTAGAATGGTGGATGGTTGAGATTTATGGGATCTTGTGGGAATATTGTTTTGAATGTCAACGTTCTCGTTTGGGAAGGAATTTATTGAGGACAGAAGGAGATAAATTATTTAAATTTATCTATGCTGTTATTCTATAGTTTTTGGAAGTATTTAGAATTTCGTTTTAATCTTAAAATTTTAATCTTTTCGTATGTAATTGATACAATAAATAACGAATTTTAATAATAACGTATCAATTGGATAATAATATATTTTTGAAAAAATATATTACAAGGAATGTATATACATATATTAACCGAATAACAATCTATTTAGCAAGTTATAAATTATTTGTTTATAAAGTCTATTTCATTACAGTAATGGAATTTGATAATAGAACAAGGTAAATATCGCAAATGCATTACAATCTAGTTAATTGTTCTATTCAACATAAGAGATAAAAATAGACAAGAGAAAACTATAATCAATATGTAACTACAATGAACTATTACTCGTTAATCTAATAATGTTAAAGAATTGCAAAAGAATTTAAGTATTAATATTACATATATTTATAATTTATAATCGATATTGCGAGATTAATTCTAAAATTCTTCTTCATCATTTTTCGTACTGAATATTCTAGACATAGTGTTCTACGTATAAATGATACGCAATATCCTACGATCATAATGTTTAATGTATTGTACAATATTAAGCTATTACTTTTTATTATGTGAAATTATGTAAAACGCATAATATTTTTGTACATAAAAAAAACTAATATTAGAGTATTAAAATATTCTGAAATTTATTAGAAATTCCTAATCCTAGTAAATTTAAGATAGTAATGAAAGAGTAGACGATTTAAATCCAATGAGAATTAATCCTAATTATAAAACTTATGCAAGTCGATTATAGTTGATTTATACCACAAACTGAGCGACAGATAGAAGAAGAGGATTCTAACTGCAGGAACTGTAGGAGGGATTAATGGCGATGACAGGATGAAAGAACAGCACTTACGGACAATGGTATGATAGAAATTTATTAACAGAAATGATAAATCGTGGCCTTAGCCCAATCGATTATCCAAAATCCTATCTCGCTCTTAAAATTATGAATTTCATTTTAATTTCATATTAATCATCCTTTAAATCGTATATCTGTCTACGACATTATCATTTGAAAAATTTATTGAAACATTTATGGAAACTTTTGCGAATAAAAGAGATTATATTTTCATAGAAAAGATATTTCATCTTCGGATTTTATTAAAATTTTAATTCGACTATTCAAAATTCTGTTTTTCCTTTAGAATCAATAATTTTATTTTGATTTAAAATTTATCGATCGATATCGCAATATTTAACGTAAAAGAATTAAAAAATTTATTGAAACGAGTGAGAAAAGGATATTTTTATAGAATAGAAAATATGAAAGTTCTTTCGACTATGATCTTATCAAAATTTTAATTAGATAATCAACAAATGGAACAAACATCGTGACAAAATCCAGTTGCTACCATTGCGCGGGAAAATTCGGATCGCTTAACTTTTCAAGTCATTACCAGCGCGCTGCAAATGATCCTGTGAAACTTCTAAAAGTTTTAAGACGCTTCTCCGCGGATTTCGAGAATCTATGGACTTTTAAAGTTCATACTGTAATCCATCTCGCCAAGGCTAAGTACCGCCAATTGTTAGAAAGAATGAAGCATAGATTTTCGGTATGATGAATCTGTAAATTATTCGATATAATAATGCTATTATAAGAATTATTAATATGATAAAATGAAAACTTTGAAATCACTGCCATATCTTCTGCAATATTTTAATTTTATTTTTAATTTAAATTATTCTATACAATTATTTGTAAAATATCTTGCAAAACTTTGTACCATTCTTATACTTTAATATCGATTTAAATAAATTCTTTTTAACGAAAGAATATTCTTTATTTAATCTAGTATATGCTATGCTATTAAATACGGTATTCTTCTTTCAAACGAATATATGTAAAAATGAATTAGGTCGACAGCTTCATGTAAGTTTTTCAAGAACTCCTTTAACGCCAGAAGACCACTCTTTTAATTAAAAATTTAACATTAAACAAATCTTCTCCTCTCCTTTTATACAAAATAGACTCAAGTGGCATCAAAAATCAAAAGTTAAATATTCTTCTCCAATTTAATAAATCTCTCTTTTAATTTTTACATAAATATATTCAAGAAGGAAGAATGTACAAAGACAAAAAAAAAAAAACTTCGCACAGAGATATTTTTGTCTTCATTCACGACTGCAATAATAGAATTGAATCATCGAATGATAATCGTTTATCATCGGCTGCGCAACACATTGTCTTTCGATCATTCCAGGTCATTAACAATTACTCGATATTAATAATCAATATTACCGCGCGTTTATCATCGCGACATAGTCAAGTGACCGCAAATAACGCGAAGTAGATTAGCATCGTTACGACTGGGTAATGTCGACGATAACGCGTAGAGAATCGAACAATGATCGCCAACTCTCCTTTATCCGAACTTCCTCTAATAGGTGACGCATTGCGATTACGATTGGAAAACCGCGATCGTGATTCGATTCATTTCGAGTGGTTATTGCGATACAAGGAAAAACTTTTACGAATCAAGTGTCCTCTTTATCGTTCATCACTTCTTCTCTCTTATTTTTATCAAATACAGATGAAAACAAAAAAAATATTTGAAGGAACAAGCAAATTTAATAAAGGATATACAATATTATAGAATGTAATCTATTTTAAGATAAAATTATCAATAAAAATTATTCTTTTTTTTTTGTGAACTTTATATTATTAAGATATAAAATTAATTAATTTGATTTAGATAAGTTTAATTGAACCGTATATCATTTTTATTTTATTGATCGTTAATCGTATATACATATATATATCGAATATATTTTAGATTAGAATAAATTTTATATCAATATAATTGAACAAATAATAAATGAATAATAAATAATTAATGAAAAAAATCCTAAATATAAAGAATATTGAAAGAAATAAATCTGTAAAAATATTGAAAATATTAAAAAATAATCGATGTGATAAATCTAAAGTATATTCTTTACTTCAAGATTGATCAAATTTAATTTTTGATAACTTAAAAATAAAATAATTCTATGAAGGAAAGAAATATTTATATAAATGATAGAAATAAGGAATAAATAAAAGCTAAGATTTTCGAGAATGTTTTTGCATGTAAATTAAGAATGAGCAAATTCTTGACGATTAATTAAATCAATTTTATTTTTAAATTTTAATATTACATCATATCGATTTATTTTGAAATAAATTTGTAATATATAATTGATATATTATCGGAATAATTAATTTTTGAAAATTTAATAAACTTAAACTCTTTTAAAAAGATTTTATGCATCGTATTTTGCGTGAATATCAGATAAAGAAATTTACAATAGAAATGGCTTCTTTTTTTTTAATCAAACAATTTATTCAAATCTTTATGAAATTCCTACAAAGGGAGAAAATTCAATATAAAGAACCAGGTTGTATAAATGGAAGAATATTTAAACATTCACTCTAAACTCAGAAATCAATTTTCTTTTATTCATTTTCTTTTCTTCTAATTTTTCATGAGACTGAAGTTCTTACTATTTACTTATACATTTCATAACTTTCTTTGATATTTCCTACCCTTCGATAATTTCAAAACAT